TTTTTCTTTGGGGGTTATTAAGCAATCACTGCTATCCTGGGTCATTATTAGAAGTCGAATTGGAGATCTAGAAACACGTGAAGAGTGGCAAACAGTTTATATTTCAGCAAGAGACTTAAACTGGAAAGGAGAAGTCGTGGTGTTGATGATTGAAATAATGATGACCATTGTATGAGTTATTTCCTTTAGCTGGGGTTCCACTGCCCACAAGCGACTTCTTTTCCCTTTGAGTCCAGCATCTCTTCTCTCCCCAACAGGCCAGCCTAATACATGTGTGCAGGTTTAATGCTGGAAGGGAGGGTCAGCTTTACCCATACATAATCACTGTTTTATGGCTTTCACTCATTCCTGAGGTGTTAATGCAGATCAAATGGGAAACACTCGAGAAAGAACCCTTGCAGCTACTGCACTGCCTAGCTCTCCCGGCTCAATCGTTAATTCTTATTGTAAGATCTAAAGGTAATTTTGTTTGCTCTCTTAATGCGTTGCAGTTCTCCCAGTGGCCCTTGCATATCCTTTCTCAAATTCCCATCTTGATCAATTGTTTGCAAATAATTAAGCTTTTAAGAGATAATGGCATGAGGCTAATGTACACAACAAAGGAGAGGTCTCCTGCCACTGTCTATTGGACTGGTCAAATTTGCTTTGATATCCCAAAGTGATTAGGTTGATTGCTATATCTGGCAAGTGCAATCAGTCTTTCCTTCACAAGAACCTACTGGTCTCTCTTAAACTAGTAATCTTGCCATTGAGGTGCAATAATAGCAAAGGTGTATAGGAGATTGGCAAGGGGTGGCCTAAACCCATAGTTGCAATGGTTTGGAATGAATTTCTCGTTTTCTTCCTAAAATGGCACTTTTCTTTATCCCTTGAAAAATGACATCTACCTTCACCCATCTTAAGGCCTCATTAGCCCTGGGCAGAATGCAACAGGACTTTGAATGTTTTTATAGTAGTCTTGCCTGCGGCATGTTAGGTTTTTGTCAAATTATTTAAAAAAAAAAAAAGTCTACAAAAGAATATCTCACACTGGTCACAAAAAGCTTATCTAGTGATGATGCATAGGAGTTAAGATATTTGAACACATAGGATTTCAGTTAAAAATCTAACTTCTTTGTGGATTTTTGTCTGACTGTGGATTAGATACCTGAAGTCATGGTTTTCGTGTGATTCTAGCAATTACAGATTTTTTTTTTTTTCAGGGAATTGAAAGTTTGCAGGACACCAAGGCCAAAAACTATGAGAAAGAAAAAAACCATTCAATTGACCTACCATAGACATGAGTTTAGATATTTTGTTGATACCCTTTTCCCCTCTTAATGATGACCAGATTATTGTGACATTTAATTTCATCCAGGCTCATTCATTTCTATTAAAAAAAATATCCTGAATAACTGAAAATTGTTTAATGGAGATAGAGTGCTGGGTCGCCATAGCTTGAGGCTGCCTTGCAATTATGCTGCATGAAATTAGACACAGTTTGTTCCAATTACTTAAAATCAGATCACATGAAAAGTGACAGAGGGAGAAAAAGGGTAGAACTTTTACATTTTATGATAGTTAAATTATGAAATCAGAAACTGCATGATATGAAAAAAAAACCAATCTAAATTTGCACTAAAATTTTGAGGGCCATATGATTGCTCTTTGAAGTTGTAATGATTCAGGTAATTTTAATGATCCAAAGAGAATTTTCCTGACACCACCAGCATAAATAAAATGTGAATTCCATTTGCTTTATAAGAATGGATCTAAAACTTGCTCACAAACAGGCATGCAAAAATACTCTTGAAAACACAGCACAAATAAATGACTGTGACAATTTTCAATTTTCAAAGTAACTAAAAGTAAATGGCATAAACATTAATTTTTATCCAGTTCTGGCCATAATATTATAATAGACACAACTAATGAGACAGAGCAAAGGTGTTGCCATCCAGCTGTAGTGAAGAGAGATTGCTGACATATTTAGTAATTCTCTTGAAAATCAATGAAAGAGATTTCCTTAGGATCTGCAAAACTGTAAGCAAATTACAGAAAACATTAAAGATTGGCAAACAACTTGTGTATATCAGTCTACAACTTTATATAACAAATACAGTAAGTCCTCACTTAATGTTCTCAATAGATTCTTAGACTTTAATCAAAATAATATATACCGTAACCAGTTTTACTATAGGCCAATGAAATAATCAAGAGTTACTTTCTTACAGAATCTCATCAACATTATAACGAAATGACATTGAATGAAACTTTATTCAGTGGCCTGCTGTATTGCCAAAAGCTGGATAACATTTGCATATTCCAAAACCAGGCTTATATTCTGTAAGAATTGCTAACCTTGGTAACCTTTAACTTTGATGGCTCTTAGAACTTCAGATGACAAAATTGAGGATTAGAAAAGTTATCCCTTGTTCAAATCTCATAGTGAGTAGCAGCTTAATTTATATAATCTAATGGGGTCTTGTATGCCTATGTATAGCTCTTCAGCTAGTGTAGACATAGAACTACTATGTATCATACCTAATTCAGTATTCTATTCATAAACTAAGAGATTCATTTGGTTTGTATTGTATGGCGAGCCTTTATGCAGTGGGAGTTCTGTTTTAAATCTAGAGTAGCGGATGGCTCTTAGCTCAGTATCCAATCATGAGATTTTGCCTGTGATGACTGGCATCATATTGAGTAGGGAGATTGTCGCCTATGATCTTAGCCTATTATGAGGTTTATATTCTTTTATTTGAAAAGAGTGGGTCGACATCACTTTTAGGAATAAAGTAAGGAACATAGTGTTGTGGATCTCAAATTAGATTGTTTATAGCTCTTTTGGGCTTTGAAAATTTTTTATTATACATTTTGACGTTACATCTACGTGGTGAATATCTGTGTATTATTGGCAAGTCATAGCCATTCCTTTATTCCACAAATGTTTACTGATTTTCTATTATGCTAGTCAGGGATTTGAGGATGGTGAACAAAAAGGACAAGGGCTTTGGAGCTGCTAAATGAGTGGGAAGAGACACCCATAAGGAAACAAGCAATCAGAACGAGTGCTTCTGAGAGCAATGCCTGCTATTGGGGGAAAAAGAAAAGACTGATGAGAGAGTGATAAGGTGGGCTGGTGGAGAGTGGGCTAGGTAAGGCCTGCCATTTGAGTTGAGATGTGACAGTGACATTGTCACAGGAGCCTGAGTGGTATGGACAAGGTCGGCATGTTGGAAGAATGGAAAGGAAGATTGTGTGGCTGGGCAGAGCGGTGGGAAGGGGGTGAGGAGGAGGTCACGAAGTCTGAGAGGTGAGCAGGGCTGGACAGTGGTGGGCCCTTGTTGCAAGCCATGGTAAGCAGTCTGGAGGTTTTCGAGCTGGAGCCGTGCATAGAGATTATTAAAGGTGTCTGTCACATTTCTTGTTCACAGTGAGTCTTAGACACAGGAAGGAAAGCAGGACAATCACTGAGCTGTGTGGCTGCTAAGCATGCCTTCCTCTGGTCAGTTTCCTCACCTGTAAAACAGGAGGGACGATGGATTCCATTTATGTTCCTCAAAGGGATATAATGGGGATTAATTACCATCCTGTCCATAATATACTTGGAGCTCTTTAGAGAAAGGCACTATATTCCATGAAAGCAAAGCCTTATTCTAATTGTGTATTTATTGATTAAGTGACAATCAAAGACAATCCTTATGGGAAAAATTGCTACATCTCTGCTCTCCACAAAGGAATCTCATGTGCATAGATATAGGACATATTTAAACTTACATATAAGAGCATTAAAGTGGTCATTAATGAACCTTCTTAGCACCTAATCAGGTATTATTAATGAAATTAAAAGCTATGTTAATTAACATTCAATAGACCAGAATTTAGTTTCCAGTGACACAGATAGTTAAATAGAGAGTAAAGGATGCCCTTTCTCACTCATAAGAGAATAGACAGTTGACTATCAGAACATTTTTTACCTTGGGAGAATTTATTGGGATGCGGTGTTTCAAACTAGCCAGGGTCTCTGCAGATGAAAACCGTGTCCTCAGCAGCTCTCGCAGGCTTTAGAAATATATATTTCAGATTTAGATATAGTTGACTATTGAGTGAAAAGTATTTGTACCAAAACTAATTTCAGTAGAATTCTAAACATTCTTACAAAAAGGTATAGATTCCATTTTATTATCTAATCCTATAATACTTTTCATCCTATTTTATGGGGAACATAGCTGAGCTTATTTGTAGCACACAAAATATGCTGGTCTTTGACCTCATATTGGCCTACATTCAGAATCCCAGCATGTGTTGACATTCAGATATGGAAACGAACTTTGGTTGAATTTTGTTTGTGCTTTTCAGAAGAGCTAAAATGAATAGTGGTTAAAAAATGCACCTACTTTAATTTTGATATTTGCAGTAATATGATGTTTGGAGAGAGAATGTCATACCAACAAAGTGCTTAACTACTAGGGATCACAGCTGAAACTTTTGGTCTAAATGGTTCAGCTTTAGAAATCTATGGTTCTAATAAAAATATTACATCAAGGTGGTACATTTTTATATGGTCAAAAGGGCTGGTCTTTATTATAATCCTGTGAAGTACAGTAAAGACCACACTGAACTTCCTGTGTTTGCAACAAATAAACCTGTTAAAGGATAAACTCAGTATCAAGGTTCTGCAAGAATCCTAAGTAGCTATTTATACACTTCACTAATCTTTGTAATTGGCCTGTCTTTTACTGCCATTAATTAGATGATGTAGTATTCCATTAATAAGGGTGACACACCTCAGCATTTTTACCTTTAATTATAGACTTCACTAGACACTTAGGTTATTGACAAAATAGCCTAAAAATTGACTGATGTACACATCTCTCTCTTTATTTATTTATTTTTTACAGAGCATATCTGTTTATTTTTGAATTCCTAGCCCCTACCGTTGACCTGACATGTGATATGCGCTACCTTATCTGTCCAAAGTATATGAACATACACCTAAGGTTTTTGTTCTCTTTCAGCACCCTTACCCTTCTGAAGAACAGAAAAAGCAGTTGGCACAAGACACGGGACTCACCATCCTTCAAGTGAACAATTGGTAAGTAATTTGGCTTTGCGTTTATGTACAATCTGCTTCCTCCTCTGGCAACCTGCAGCTAATGTTTTGCATTAAGAAGACACACCCAGTTGTTGCTATTTTTCCTGGTGGCTTGTTGATCCAAAGGTGAGAACAAACTGTAGAATGATAGATGAGAGCGCTTGATAGTATGGAAAAGAAAATGATGTATTGCTTTCCACCTTCTTTATGAACTGGCAAATTTTAGGCATAGTACATGTCAGTGTTGAATTCACGTTCACTGTGGTTCTGTAAATGTATCTCTCTCTATGGCTTTTTTTCCTCCTTCAGGATAATGGATAGAAAGAGTAGTATCCTATTTCCTATGAAACAAGAAAATCCATCCTCACCTATCAGTCGGGTTTTAAATTCACTGAATAACTCAATTCAGTTAGATTTTGTCAGGGCTGTGCATTCAAGGTTAGGCCCCCTTTTCCTCTTATCACCTCTCTGGAAAAGAAGAATTATTCAAACTCTGATGACTCATCAGACTCATCAGAGTTATTCAAACTCTGATGTATCTCTGGACTGTGCAATACTGTTTCTAAATAAATGTTTAAATTCCTGATTTGTGGAGAAGCTGAGATTATGTACCAAGAACCAACCAACAATATTCTGACTTAATATATGGTGGTGTGTGGCAAGGAGGCTTTGAGAAAGCGTGATTTATTACCCTTTGTGAGTGCGCTGAAAGCTAGGTTCGTGTAATCACCCAGAGCTAATGTCATATTTGAAGGATATCGAAACCCAATATCCTCTAAAACTAAGTGTATCTAATTAATTGTCCTAATATTTTTAGATTAGTGTTTATGATGGGGAAATCTTATCCTCTTTGAAGTAAAATCTAGAAAAGACCCAAAGCCTGGCTGGGGAAAAGGGAGCACTGGGAATGCCAGTTTACAGACAGAAGTATTTCTTTCTGTTCAATAAGTGTCAAAGATGAATATTACAGAACCTCTGATTACATGGCCTCATCCATTTTCGTGAATACATTTGTTCCTGACGTCCATTGCACCCACATTAACAGACCCTTCTCTGTTTGAGAGCCTGGGAGCCTTTGGGAGAGATTTCAGATATATTAAACTCCATTACAGAAAATGTAATTTCTGTCAATATAATCCCATGTATTCTTCAATTTAGTATTTTAGAGATAACAAGCTACTTACAATATATTTGCCTTTGGAGGATTAATTTACAAAGTGCACTATCTTCAAGACACAGACAGACTCACATAAGCATTGCTTGTAAGGGTTATCAATTTCTATGACCTTAGCACAGCCTTGGGAGATCAATTTTTGCAGCCCTTTTAGTCAAGTGGATAGGGAACCAATGGAAGACATACTGTACCTACATGTGTTACTAGGAGTTGTGTGGCTGCTGAGGTTTTTTTGTTTGCCTATTTTTGCCTGCTACTGTATCTGACTTTTCAAGACTGTTGATACTACATATTTGAACTTAGTTTTCAAATTGTTCTGGACATTATTGTAGGGTAGACCATTGATTTTGCATGCATACCTAAATTCCTATGTAGTTTCAAAGTTAAACTGTTGGTGAGGCAATTTTAATACAGTGGAGGCTGTATAAAAGTCCTATTTCTCTGCGAAATGTTCCTACTTGAGGGCCGAGGCGTGGCAGGGCAAGCTCTAGTTAAAGAAGGCAAACCACTGCCATTCAGGTGATCTATCACACATGCCATCTCTCTTCCTCCTCAGTGTTGCTAGCAAACTCCATTCATAAACATACATTGTTACCAGAGAACAGATTCCAATACCAGTTGCTTTCCACAGGTGGACAATCTTATCTGATATTGCTGTAGATGCAGCGGGCAGGCGGGCAATCCTGTGACACCGAGCAGTGTGTGATTGTTATTTTCCTAGATTCTATGCACAGTGATCACATCTGACTTCCTTGCGTTTTGCAGTTAGAAGGGGAAAAACAGGACCTTAAAAAAAGTCATAATACATACCATGTAATAATTTTTCAAACTGCATGCGAACTTTACCCTAAACTCCATACTGATATTCAATTGTGCATAGTAACATAACTTTAAAATCACTTTTCCTTAGTTATGTGGTATGTAAGCACAATTCCGTTCCCAAGTGGCACTGTGTAATGTGCACCTGCTCTGTCTACTTCTATATGGAGTTGGAAGTGACTTTTGCTTGCACTTCATTGCTTTGAATTTGGCAACTGTTTCAACTCTAACGACTTTGTGCTAGAGGATTCCGCTCCAGTAACTAAAAGTTGTAGGAGATAGTTTCTCTTAAGTTTGATGAATAATGACGTTTCCAGGTTTGATTTGAGTTTTAATGGTTTATTAATTTTCACACAAACCTTCTTTTTTTAAGGAGTCGATAATAGATTTCTTTTTCTTTAGGCTTTGAGTAGGAAATACGATGCAAAAATGGGGAAACCCAGATGGAACTGTATTGATATCGAATATGTCAGAGAATCCTACACTGTGGCATACTGGAAGACTAAAAAGTAGCAGAACCACTAAACAGTTTTCATTTTACTTTATCATAATAAAAAAATACACAAAGCTTTTTTGAGAGCTTAGAAATACTTTTCCTGTATTGAGCATCAAGCCCAGGTTACTTCCTTTGGGAAATCCCAATTTAAAAAATCTCCATTCGTATTTTAGAATTTCCCTTTCACTTTATTTAGCCACAACATTTAAAAGTGTGTCTTCCTTCTTGGATTTCTTAAAACTTGTTAACACACATGTTCATTTTGTACAAACTATGAGTCAGTGTTGAAGAGATTTAATAAAATGCCGAAGGGCAGCATGGGTGTAGATCAGTCATAATTATTGGCAGCAACATAATGTATGGAAACACATTCTGAAAGTGAAAAATATAAACTTATGTCTAGTTGTTAGCTTGTCATAGAACCCCTGGCTGATAAAGCTTTAAGTTAGGTTTTGACTGAAAAATGAGATGAGGAAAGTTTGGTGTGTTGTAATGGTTCTTTCATTCAATTGCTGAACTGATTTTCTATTTATTTAATTGACGTAAGCGGTATACGCTACCCGCCTTGGCTAACTAAGGTCAAAGCATATGGAATTTGGGGGAAGAAGAGACAACAGAGAGAATTTAAATAACAACCTAAATCTAAAAGAACAAGACAGGTTTGATTAAGAGAAAATTTGGCTTAAAAGAAGTAACTTATAATTTTTATATTTGGCTTACCTACTAGAATGAAAACAGAGATGAAGAATCTGAAAATGGCTGGTATTAGTACTTATAGGAATTGGGTCCTGGGGTGGAATGTGAAATTTGTTGGATGAGAAATCATAGGACAAGTCTATGCCAATAATTTTTTTGAGAATTGAGACAATATGTGAATAATTGAGGTAAAATATTTTTACCTCAATTATCTAAGTATTTGAGGTAACTGCATGTTTTTTAAAAACCAACTTCCATAATTAATTGCCTAAATATTTCAATCTAGTATGCCGTGGTAGACTTAGACTTGAAGCATAATAATTTTTGAAATATAAGATGTGCTATAAATTTATGTATTTTTCTTCCTTTGTTCCCTCACTCCCAATTGTGGTTTGATCCAAAAATGATAAATAATAGCATTTGAGATTTTGTCTTTTTGTTTTTCTTTCATTGTTGTCGTGGTCGTGACAAATATTTCTATTACGTCCGCAGTGAAAACATGTTACTAATATGTTGAATATCTTAGTCATTTAAATGAAACTTTTTAAATTTTGAGTTTAGATGTTGTTTATGTCTTTAAATATTTAGGTAGAACTTTAAAGAAAACACACAGTCAATACTCGATTGTTTTTTTCTCCTGAATACACCAACTTTATTTTTTATATTAAAAATGTGAGTGCAGAATGGTCAAATAAAAGCTCCCTTATATGTTTTCAGAGCAATGTTGCAGACCTGGGAATTCCATGTGATGAAAACTTGTGCCTGTGATTGCATCTTATTTGCTGGATGCCTCCGACACTTCCTGCCTCAGCAGAGTTCTAGCCTAGGGTGTACTGAATAAATTTTACAGTTTCTTTGTTTACTACTCCTCATCCAAACACTTTCCCATTAAGGCCTAAAGTTAAATGATTATTCCTTTACGCTCTGAGAAGGCAATATGGATTTTAGGTGCAAAGTATAGAGCGTATGTGAAATACAATACGTACGTGGAGAAAAAAATTACTCTCCATCAATAGGGTGCATAAAATCCCGGGGAGCATCCAAACATCTGAGGTGACACTTTATAGAACTATCGCAGCTCTTCACTTCTCAGATTTAGTACATATACTAGCTTTTCCTAGTTACTTCATTTACTGCCTTCAAAACTGCAAAGCATTCAGGCATCACTTCCCAGTTGTTACTAGGAGGGGAAAAAAAGTAGATTTATGCCACTGGCAGGTAAAGATATAAACTTATTTTTTAAAAATAGGATCTCCCTTATTATAATAAACAGATTCGACTGTTAAAGGTCAGGTTTCTTTCTGAGTTATGGTAATAATGTAACAAATACTTTTATAAGTAATCAAAGGTCCTGTAAATACAGGTACCTGTGTAGATGTAAATGTTAAAACATTCACAGATTATCCTTTCAACTTCTATGATCTAAAAATCAATAGGGGGTCATAGGGTTTCATAGAATTGCTCTGCTTTTTCTTCCAACATAATTTAATAATACATTTTACAGATGTTGTTTAAACATTAGGCACAGATTGTTTTGTCAATAAAGCTAAGCAGAGGCATGACACAAAAACAAGAAAAACAGATGTAAAAAAACAAGGCACCATGCGAGAGGCACCGGGTCATTTGTTTGTTATTCAGCTAAAAAATGAATGTGTAGGGTATATAGTAATATTCCTTGCCTAGGAATCACCTAAGAATGGAACAACTTCACACACAAAAGGTAATTTTATTAAGCAGGTGGTTTAATTTTTCCCTTAAGAATTTAAGTGCCACCTACACTTAAATTTAAGGTAGACCTTATCATTGATCAATGGA